ATGACTTAAGTTGAAAAGTCTTCTTGCTAATGACAAATGAGAGGATGGATATTGACATCATGGTCTGGTGTGTCTGAAGGTCGGGAGGACTGGACCCATTCTGAAGGCAAGGAAAAAGTTCATTTCTCTTCTCAAAGTCAGACAGCTAGTTCCAAACAGATGAGGACACAGGGGCATTTGTCTGTGCTTGTGCACTCAAACAGTGCTTGGAAGGATAAGGTACTTTTGGTAATAGAATTCATAAAGGGTACTGAATCTACATCACTAGTCCCAGTGTTGAAAACCGTCCTTTAGGCAATGTATAATAAACTAAGCCCATTCAGCAACTTCATTTGCAACTTTAGTATCCCAATTTGACGAATTTTGTTAGTTTGGGACATCATGAGATTGACTATCTTCCTTGTTGTTTATTAGATATAAAATTAAAGGTACAAAAATTGTAGGATCTCTAGATATGAAAGATATGATTACACCTTGGCTTGTAATAACAAATCCTTTGTATGTTGCAGATTCTCAAACATGAGCAGTTCATATGGTATATACTGTGCATGCAATAAAGCTGGACCTGAAGAATTTTTGAAATTTAGATAATTGGCACTATTTATGTTAAAGGTTATACATATTACCACCATTTAATGATAATTTTATTTCCTTTATATTCAATACACATTTGTTTGGTTTAATATTAGAATTAACATTAATGCTCCTCAGATTAGAAGTTTTAGAAATAAACTTATTCAAGTGTACTTTAACATCAACATTCTTTTAACATTTTTTAAACTGTATACCTTGTTGTACTTACATATTTTCAGGTGCCAAAGAAGAGTTGCAAACTGTGAAGTAACTTCTATGAAGAGATGAAGTGAAGAATGGAAGGCAAATGACTGTATGTGCATGTGGTGAGTGCTTAACATTTGTTCCATCGCCTCCCACACAGTTAACTCCTAAAGGTAAAACTGCCAAACTCTTTGTCACTAGGTATCTGTGGTATAGACATGGATAAAAGTGATAAAGAGAAATAAAACCATTTTATTCTTTATATGATAAGCATTTTGTACAAAGCTCACGTTGCCTTTCAGGGCCTATCTTTGCAAGTCCCTTTTACAATTAATCCGTTTCAGGGCAACTTATTCATGTCTTCTTTCACGATTAAAAAAGTAACATTTTTAATGCCATTAGAATTTGTATCTTACTGTTTTTCATGTTTTCCTGCACTCCTACGTGGAACTACCAGGTCTGTGTTGCAAGTATGCTGTACAGTTGAATGCTATACAGTGCGCCATACAGTGGAACAATCTTGAGAGGTAGATTAATCTATAGCCTTTCTTCATCTTAGAGTGGGTTTCTGTGGCAACAATCCCGCTTACTTTAAAGTAATTTTTTTAAAGCTCACTTCAAGAGCTACACCCAGTGTGGGCCAAGCTTGAAAGCAGGCAGACCCAGTGCATGAGGTTTTAGTAGACCTGCTGATTCAATGCAGGGAAGTAGCAGAGAGGAGGATGGAGCAAATTGGTATGCAGCCCTGAACAGAAATTAGACACTAGCTTTCCCTAGACTATAAATCCTGAGGGTCGTGCTCTCTGGAAGTTCTGTGGCACTTTTAATATGTTAATAAATAATTCTTTTGTGGGAAGCCAAGTTAATATTTATTTACATGTATAAAAAACATGATAATTCTTTAATGAAGGAAATGTTTGGTGACCGGGGGAGAGAGCTGGTTTAAATAGTGCATCAGTCCCTCCCAGATATCTTTTCTTAAAGGGAGTGTCACCTTTTACTTAACAGTATAGGCCCCGAGCTTCCTGACTGGCTTTAAAGGGTGTAAGAATTTTCTACTTTGCAATCATGGAACTGGAATAGACTGGAAAATTCATTTAATGCATAAGCAAACTGAGATCAGAAAAAACAAAACACATTCAAGGCACCAATCTTGAACCAGAGAATCCAGGCTTCCTAATACCTAGTATCGGCTTCTTCATACACCGGAAATTATTCTGATCCTATCCGTGTACCATTAGGTGGCAAGGATAAGAATAATTTTTAAGCCTTGAAATTATTTAGAGAAGAATATAAAGCACATTTTGGATTAACCACTTTGTAGATTACCAATGAATAATTTTAAATCCTAGGTGATTCTATTGTATATTTCTTTACAACCTTTTTGTTCTGCTTCAACCATAAAAGCTCATGGGAAAGAAACTAATGCTAATATTAACTTGGGGTCACACATAATTAAGAAGCTAAATCTTCTGAGGGGAATATCTTGTGTTCTAGAAGGCCAGTTGAAATACATTCCAGATCCAAATCATTTTCAAAATATCCACAGTGTGAAGTTATATATACTTTTGAATGCTCGTACCTTCACTGATAATTATAGGTTTGTTAAAATGTTTATTGTAAAATGATCCTTAAATTGATAAAAGGTAAGATAGTTTCTTTTTGAAAGAAAACAACATAAAACTGAAGTATACTGTGATAAAAACTCTCTATGATCCATCATAAATAGTATGGTTGAAAGTCATGAATTGCCTATGTCTATTTGCTCATGTGAAATAGAATGTTAAGAGTTTATTATATTACTTTCAGGCATTATTGCAATAAGCTTAGCTGTTTCTGCAAATGGTTTGTCAGGATATTTGTGAATCTGGAAAAAAAATCATTTTTACCATTATATAAAGACATATCTTAGTATTCAAAATGTCAATGAATCTTTCAACTTTTGGATTTTTTAGAAGTTGTAGGTGTGCCTTAAATGAAAACCTAACACAGATTGCTTCTGCAATATTATTAAAAAGAATTCATGGTACTAGCAAACTCACTAGCTGAAAAACAAACAAGCAAGCATATATTGTAGATACCAATTTGAAAGAAATGATACTATCTCAGATGTTTCTTGCTTTTGTGACAGTTTGCCATGCTTTCCTATAATAAAAGCAAGAGCTTCATCTTAGCTATGCTGATAGTGATGAGCCAGAATCTGCCTGAAGTATTCAGATCTAGTTGTACTTGCCTGTAAAACCAACCTTCTCCTTTCAAGTAAAGCCTTGGGGCACAGGCTTAAATGTTGAACCTCCTCTTCTGAGAAAAGCTACTCACATCAAATAGCCTCAACAATGAAGGAGGAGGCTTTCTGAATCACACTGCCCTCCCACATTAAAATAGTCTAGAGGCACACAGTACAGGATTTCAGAGGAAATGCAACTAGTCATTGGGTTAAATACACAGTGCTGAAAGGAATTTTTAAAGTGAGGAAATAACTTTAATTAGCTAGATAGTTCAGTGTACTCCTATTGTCTACTCTTGAATATTCCATGTCTTTATTTTCCCAGTGTATTTTCCCTTCTATCTTTTAAAATGTTTTAATTTGAAACATTTCCCATAACCTGGAGTAATACAGGCATGCAATCTTGTCTTTTCACGGTTTGTGTATGAGTTGCTGTATTTTATCTTTGGCTTTATTGGGCGTGGTGTAATTTGGCTAGGGAAGGGAGGTACCCAATCCCTAGTAACGTTTCCTACATCTTTAATATTAACTTTATTTTTTAAACTTGAACGTAAGTAGTATCTTCCTTATCAGTCTCGATTTCTGCTTCCTGTGCAGCTGAAACTCTTCAGGATAAGTGAAGTCATCAGCTATCGGATAGGGAAGCTTAATGCATTTGGGAAGTTGGTTTGGTTTACATGTGAATGCCCTGGATAAAATCCAATAAGGTGTGGAAGAGATAGAGTGGGAGAAGGGAGGGGAAATATCTGAGGAGGCTGCCGCCGTGGTAAATATTTCCAAACTGATTAGAAAGTTCATGGCCCCGCGATGAGGTCGAGATTTCAAATGTAGTCATTATTTTATTATTTTGTACATTAGTAGCACTTGGGAAGCATTTAGGCTAACTTTCTAGCCCTCCAACCTCTCAGGGCCGAAAACCGCGTGTTCTGGGCATGCAGGAAAAGCGCGCTGGAATCGAGTGCTGCAGACCTCCTGGACAGTGGCTTCTACGCGTAAGTAACACCGGAGCGCTCCGACGGTGGAAGAATGAAGTGGTTAACGCGTCTCCAAACCGGGGAAAAGGCACCAGAGCAACTATTAGGGTGGCGCTCCTATTGGTCAGAGGAAAGATCCTGATTTTAGAAGGACTTTTTCCTGCTGGCTGGCTCACGGCGTCCCCGGGGAGCGAGCGCGCAGCAGCCGCGGGTGACTTGGTTTTCCGAGAGTCCTAGGCGCCCCCAGGCAGTGAGCAGGGATCCGCTGCTCCCGGTGTTGTCTTCATTTCGTGCAATAAAGAATTGTCATTAGGTTTGCGTATGGCATGTGCCGTTACCCCACCGTAAAACTAAAATTAGCAAAATGTCAGGAATGGAAAGATTGATTCACCAAGATGCAATTATCATTTAAAAGTGCTTGATTGAGGTACTGATGTTCAGTGATTTATTCTGCATACCATATACATAATTAAAGTAGTGTAGTGGAGTAATTTATCAATCTAGTTGAGACTGGAGGGGTGAGGAGCGAATTGCTGTACGTTTGTTTTATTAAAATGCTCCGAGGTCTAGTCCCGCCCCCCTTTTGCAAGAGTGAAACTGATGATTTCTCCAGCTCACGAGGAGAGAGTCAACGGTTGGGGATTGTGAGGGAGAGAGAAAGACAGAAAGAAAAGGCAGCGCAAGGCAAAGGCAAAAGCAAGGACAAAATAAAATAGAGAAAAGGAAGACAAGAGGCACTTCATGGTTCGTGCTGCTTAGAACCCCAAGCCTGTGTGCTCGGTTTTCCCTGCCACCCCCGCCTCCCTTCCCAATATCCTTCCACCACTCCCCCCTACCCCCGCCTTTTCTACGCGACGTTTCAAAGGCTGTGAGCGGCTCTCCTTTTCCCATTCGTCTTCTGTCACTTCCTTCCTGGACGCAGTTTTCTGGACGAGTCTGGTTACTTTTAATCGGCTGGCCGCTGAGAGCCACTTTCCCCTCCTCCTCCTTCTCCTCCTCCTCCTCCTCTCCTTCCTCCTCCTCCTCCAGTGGCCTCAGCTCGCGCTCGAATGCGCGTCCCCGAGCGCGTCCCCCCCACACTCACACACCCGCGCGCTCTCTCTGCGCGCGCGCGCATACACACACATCATCTCCAGCTCTCTGCTTGCTCTGCTCGCAGTCACAGACACTTGAGCACACGCGTACACCCAGACATCTTCGGGCTGCTATTGGATTGACTTTGAAGATTCTGTGTGGGTCACCGTGGCTGCATGTTTGAATCAGGTGGAGAAGCACTTCAAGGCTGGACGAAGTAAAGATTATTGTTGTTATTTTTTTTCTCTCTCTCTCTTTTAAGAAAGGAAAATATCCCAAGGACTAATCTGATCTGGTCTTCCTTCATGTAAGTACCTCTGACATTTTTCGAGGAAAATAGAAATAGCCTGAGGTATTGTCTCTGAAATCTGCACCAGTATATTCCACAGCACTGGATCTATCCCTGTGCCTTTTTGGAGGCTGAAGTTGAGGGCTGTTGTGCATTCTTTTTCGTTAGATTCCATGATTTCCTTGTCTTTTGCGAAAAGTAACTTTTTAGATAGTCTTATCCGTTTGCCATCAGTTATTGAAATCACTCCTGACTTGTTCTTGTCACATCAATGTGTTTAAAGTTTCATGAAGTTAGTTCACATCATTAGCATGTTTGATATGGTGGAGTGTGTGGAGCCTGGCAGATTTTAATTTTTCACGGAATGGTCTGTGACCTTGAAGTACATGTCTTAAGATTCAGCCTTTAGTTCACTGTGGAAAGATGCTCTTCTGAGTCCCCCCAAGACTGATTTGCTTTGGGTTATGCTTCCGAGATGCTAATTCTTGGGATTAGTTTGAGCTAAAGCATGGCTGTCTGTCAGAGAATACCTTCGTGCATCTCCTTCCCTTACCAAAGTGCTGGCTTGATAGAGGGCTTCTTAATTGGTGTGGACAAAAAGTAACACCCTGGCCGTGGTAGACTATACATTTCACAATTAGTGTTGGCATTTCAATACAGGCATTGCTGCTTAGGTCAAGTCAAATACATAGCTGTTTTAAAACAAACAAGGTTAAGTCACTTAAATTGCCTTCTGTTTGTACTTTGGATAAAGTTACCAAACTCAGTGATAAAGTTTGGCACAAAGGAGGTATATATAGATATGGCACAATGTTTATAGTATTATTAAATACTATGCAATTATTTATATTTAATACTAGTGTTATCTCCTTCCCAGAATATGGCTATTAATTCTTAAAGGAAAATTATATCTCAAACATTTCCAACTATTCTAGTTCCTGTAGTCATTTTTGGGGAAAATTATTTTTCTTCACAATTTAGGAATGTGTGTCTTTTGTATAAAACACCTTTGTATGTAAATGCTGACAGTATAATAAGTAGATTCGGGCTGTCTGCCAGTTCTTTAACTGGTTCTCAGTGGAGAACTGCTTTGACACAAAGTGGGTTTTACTATTGTGAATCTGAAACTAACTCTAATAGTAACTGTCTTGTGAAATGGCTAGTGACTGCATATATTTTCTAAGTGCTATAAAGGGAACTCCAGCCGCCTCATTATACCAGCCAAAAAGAGTGACCAGCCTCTTCTTCACTGGCACCTTGCGATGGAATTGTGGTTGCAGAGTAAAGATGTTTATGTAGAGTGTAATAACTTCAATCCCTAGAGACTTGCTAAGACATAGAAATGTGACCACCTGTGAACCCCATTTAACCTCTGAACTGAATACTACTTTTAGCTTTAAATAGATTAACAATTTCCAATCTGAAGATAAAACATCTTATTTAATTTTTTAAATAATGTCAGTTTTGACTAGTTTTTAAAAAACATTCAGTATGTGCCAGTATGGTGCAAGTAGCATTTCTGTTTCTTCATCATTTTGGGTTAAATATAATGCAGTTAATAAACCATAGTACTGTCTCCCAGTGTATGCAAGAAATTATTTATTAAGTTAAAAGAAGTCATAGTTCTAAAACAAGTGGTTCAGAAATTGACAGGTAAAATGAAATATACATAACTAATATCCTATCTCAAGAGAAAAAAATTTCAAAAATATTTTCTATGTGTAGGAAAGTACATTTGGCTATATATTAGAATACTAATTGAATTCTAAAAGTTTCTGTCGAAACCAACTTTAAACTCAATATTTGTTTAAAATATGGTCCACCAGTCAGGTTAAAGAGATGATAGTTGGCAGTTATCTTTACTTTAAATTTTACTAAACTTTATAAAAATCTACGGTTTTTTTACTAGTGTCATTCACACAGCCTTAAAGTATCTGTGGCATATTTTCCAGATTTCTTACTAAAGACTTCATTAATTACACTATTTATATGCCAATTCCCATATATGTGTGGGGAATGTAGTGAAAGAAGATATTAAAAAGGTAACTTTGATTAAATATTAATTTGTTTCTTCAGTTAAATAAAAAATGGGCACTTTATGATAAAAAGTCAGTCTTCCACCTTTCCTGAGCTGTTCACACTTTAAAAGTATGCCCTCATGTACATTAACCGTTCAACATAGAGACAGAAGTGTAAATGATAAGAACTTTACTGAATCTTGCCTCTTTTCTTCTTTGTAAATATATTCAATTTTCAAAACTTGAGAGGAATGGTTCATTCCCATAGGGAGAAGGGCAACCTAATGATTCAAAACTGAATCCTGAAAAAGCATCATGTTTTATATTTTTCAGGTTTCTATGAATTCCTTCCTTATCCCTCAGTTTACCGAATCAATAACATTACAACCAAATCTTCCTCATAAGTGACTTATTACATTTAAATTTCTCCTAGACAAAAACAAGCTAAATACCTTCTTTGCCTATGTGAACATTATATTTCAAAACTTTCTTCTGTTTATTGTAGTATATTTTGTGGTTTTATTTCCCAACTCTACATGTGGTATATCTTGAGTCTTTGAAATCTCAGAAAGTGACAAAAAATGGGGAAATATCTGTGCAGCAACACTTGTGCTACATAAAACAACAACAAAAAATAGTTACTAAATAGAGAACTCTGACTTCAGGGACACAATTCAAAACAGCATGGAAGAATTTTATATGCAGTTAAGGGTCACAGTGTGGACTTCAGAGAGATGATTAATAAAGTTCTACTTATTTTTCAAAAGCACATCCTCTGAGAAAACACGACACAAATTGATATCTAAAATTTGTAAAAATGCACATATTCACTTTATGAATAGAGCGACTGCCTGGACACAATGCGAAGACTGACTCACGGACGCTCAGCCTGTGTGCTGCGCGGGTTAGGATGGGTGATTAAGATCCCCGCCCGCAGCACTGTACATTAATCTCATGGGCGCGTGGATTGCCTTGCACTCAGCAAAGCCTGACTGTTCACCGAGATCTGTCATCTTTAGGAAATCAAACCAGATTACAGAGGCGATTCACAAAACCAGGAGCGACAACAGGGTCTGTGCACCTTACAAAAGGCGGATTACCCAGTTCACGTGTTATTTTGATAGGTCAAAGATAAAAGCTGATTGTTGGGAAATGGCAAGACACTCCAATTTCAAATGATTGCTAGCTAAGTGTACCACAACCCTGTTGCTTCATCATTATCAAGGGCCATTCAAACAGCGGAAAACTCAGTTTTCAAATGACAAGCTTTAAATATTGAAGTAAGAGAAAATGTCCTTTTTATACATGTCTTCATTGCTTAAATTTTAAGTTCCATCACTTCTTTATGAACAGATATCAAGTTCTGGATGCTTGTGGGAACCAGTTATTATAAGGCTTTTAATTGCAGTAGACATTTTCAGAGGCATTGTAGAGAGCACAAAACAGAATTTGCCAGACATAAAACATACACTCATGGTATTGAGTAACTGAGCAGAAAAGCATAGTAGTCAATAGCCTATAGCATTATGTTATTCTGTTACCAAGTATGTTCTTCATAAGAATGTGTAATTACTTAGTTATAAATCCATACATTTGAAATAAACCTTTATAGGTGTTTATTCATCAAATTTTATATATATATATATATATATATATATATTTTTCATGAATGTTATATAAAGATCACTCTGTACTAAAAATACGATGTTTCCAGAGTTTATTTCAGAGAATAAAGTTTGGTTTATGTAATAACATTTTGAAAACACCAACTTATTACACATCCAACTCTACAGTAATTTCTTGCTTCTTTAAAAATTGAAGTCCTTTTTTACCCAACTGATGCCTCCTAGTGTTTCACACAATAAAACACTAATGAGTCATCCATAAATGTAAACATTGCATTTTCATTGCCTTCATCTTCTATGATACATAAAATTAATATTTATGTGTTTAATTTTCTGTGCATTATAATAAGATAGGAAATTCTAGTGAATGAGATGTTTCATATGAGTGGATTTGTGGCACGCACTTGCAGGTTTTCTTTGAACATAACAATATCTTACTAAGTTTCAATAAGTTTATTATTTTCAGTTCCAGTTTATATATTTACTATTTATGTTCACTCTTATTCCAAGTGAAAAACATAGGCAGCATAGCATACCTTCCATTTTCTAGGCCTGGAAATGATGTGGTTGTATTCAGTCAGAACTGTCTGATGAACAAATTGCAAAGGGACTAACATTTAAACACTAAACTGTCTTAAAAGGGAATTAAAATTTTGCCTACCCTGTGTCTGACATTTGCAAATTGCTTTGTAAAAGTTCAGTAAAGAAAACTGGCTTTTAGGAAAAAACAAAAGTAAACGCACACACTTCCACTTTATTAGAAAATAACAAAATAATACTTAACTTGAGAGTATATAACTACACAATTGAAGGAAGACTTATTAGAACATAATTTCTCATGACCTGCAGATTGCTTTAATGAGGTTGAAGTTAGTGGATACCAACTTTGGTGTGAGTTTTCTATAATTAGGATAATGAGTGTACACTTTCGATATTCTTGCACTTCTGTGATTTCAAACAGCTTTCTGACTCTACTTATGAAGACAGATCTTTTAGTTTCTCAATATTTTTTCTTTAAAATATTTATGAAAGGGAAGTGTCATTCCCTTAATGGGTCTTAAATTCAAAGGATGCACTTAGAAACCTGTAACATTTATGGGCCTCTTCCTGAATTGTCATACAACACACACGTGCACAAAAATATTCACGAATTTCTTCCATCAAGACAAGTGTTCCAAGAGTCCTGACTTAGGCACTAGCCTGAGTGAATGTGATTCATTGTTATTACCTGTGTGCATATGTGTCACTTAGTTCTCCTGGTTCAAACACAGCACACTTACCACTATTTAAATCTCATTTAAGATTTCTAATTTGGTCAATCAGACAGCACTAACACAATTCTGTGTGTGTTGGACACATTTCAAAGAATGTAAGG